GAAAACAAACTGATGTTACTGACCTGTGTGAATTGCTAAATGTTATTTATTGCCAGGCTTGCAACCAGAGAAACCAACACACCCTTTCTTTGTTGTCTGCTCATGCTAACAGAGCAACTGGAGCTTCCTTCTGCTTCAAGAGCTGAATCAAATCAGGCAACAAACAAAAAATAAATTCTCCCATCTTAATAACTCCCCCAGTTTGGCCTCCAGGATACATTTAAATTCCTAGAAATGTAAGAGTTCACCGACAGGACAAATATTCAGAGAGGTTTCCGTTCAGCAGCTGCAGCAGCTGTAAAACATCATTTACACCAACACTTGAAAGTGTGTTTGGAAGAAGGAAATACCTTCTCAAAGGATTTGGGCCAGTCATCACTGTGGATGTTCCTCAGATTCCCTCGGTCTTCAATCTTGTAGTGTCTGATTTTCTGGTCTTCCAGCCAGACAATAAAATTCCTGAATTCTGTTTCATCTGTTGGGAGAGGGAAACAAAGCAGGAATTAACCAATATCTTCAGGGCAGAAACAAGGCTTTAAGTTTTGATCCAATTCATAGAAATACTGATGCCCCTGAGTGCTTTTACCATTAAAAAAAAATATATATATTTCTATCTAACACTAAAATCGTGTATTCCCTGACCAGCAACCAACCCTGAGTGTTTTTCATCTCCCAAGTCACTTCAAACTGGCTTTTAACTGACTGACTACAACAAAAGGCATCAGCCAACAGGTTGGTTTTGTTGGGAATACCATCACAGCTTTATCAAGCAAAGAGGAAAAGAGAAAAAATGAGAGATAAGTTCAGTTTCTAACTCCGTTTTCCAGACAAGCACAACAAAATTTCTCCCCAAGAAACCCCCCCAGAGATGTCGTGGCTGCAAAGGCATTTTCTTCCTTCCCTGGTGACTCAACTCTTCTTCTGCCTGTTGATTCAAAATCTCGTTATGTGGGAGCTGGAATTCCACACACAGAGGCTGTGGTTCCACACAGGGATATTCAGATTGGATGAAGCAATTGGTCTGTGCTTGTGCTAAGGTGGCAGAACCCACTTGTGGACACAGCAGGTCACAGCTCTGGGGTGTCACCAGCCCCCCCCGAAACCTTTTGGCATCGGATGAGCTTTAATCATGGAATTCTGGAATGGTTTGGGCTGGAAAGGATCTTAAAGCTCATCTCCTTCCACGGGATCTTCCAGGGATCCAGGGGCAGCCACAGCTTCTCTGGGCAACCTGTGCCAGGGCCTCACCGCACCTCGTTGTAAAAAAAAAAAATTAATTTCTAGCTATAATAACAAACAGAGACACGGGCACAGCACACAGAGAGGAAAACTTCGAGTGTGACCTTTTAAATTTTCCACGCCGACAAAACAAAGCATGTAAGCAAAAAAGAAGTAATGGTTAACCAGGAAGAACTTGGGGCACACAACAAAAAAAAAAGATGTGAGGGCCACAACACCCCGGTAAACCCGTGGGATTTTATTATTATTATTACTTATTAATTTGCAATTATCATCGCGCCCTAAATCCCCGCGCCGCAGCTCAGCCCCGAGCCCGCGGAGCTGCGACGGGAGCCCAGCAGACCTCCCTTGATTAAGCTAATCCCAATTAACAAGCCCAGAATCGCGGAATGGTCTGGGTGGGAAGGGGCCTCAAAGCCCGTCCCCGTGGGCAGGGACACCTTCCCACACCGCGTCCTCACCCCTGCAGTTGAACCCGGCCGGGTTGTGGTAGTCGAGCGCCGAGAGCTTGCGGCGGAACATGGTCCCGGCGGTCCCGATCCCGGCGATCCCGGCGATCCCGGCGATCCCGATCCCGGCGATCCCGGTGCCGGTTCCGCCTCTCCCCGGCTCAGGCCGCGCCGACGTGACGGACCCCGAGCGAAGGAAGCGCCCGCCCCCGGCCCGGCGCTGCGCCCGCCCATTGGCCAGCCGCGCTGAGCGGCAGCCGCCGCGACCAATCGGAGCGGCGGAAAGGGGCTGCCGGGAGGGGAAGAGGCGCTCGCTGGCTCGCCTGCAGGGACCTGGCGGGAAGGGGCGTGGTCACAGAGGGGGCGGGGCCTGATGGGGTGGGACATTGACTGGTGGGCGTGGCTTGTGAGGGGGCGGGGCCTGTGCCCGCTGCAATGCGAGCTGGGTTGTACTGGGAGGGTTGGGAGCTGTACTGGGACAGCTGGGGAATCGTACTGGGAGCTGTACTGGGACAGCTGGGAGTGCTAGGAGCTGTACTGGGAACACTGAGCTGTACTGGGAGCACGGGGGAGCCATAGTGGGAGCGCTAGGGAGCTGTGCTGGGAGCCCTGAGAGCACTGAGCTGTACTGGGGAGCACTGGGGAGTTGTACTGGGAGCGCTGGGGAGCCGTATTGGGAAGCGCTGGGAGCAGTGAGATGTACTGGGAGCACCGGGGAGCTGTACTGGAGAGCATTGGGCTGTACTGGGAGCACTGGGAGCTGTACCGCGAAGATGTACTGGGGATCACTGGGGAGCAATGAGCTGTGCTGGGAAGAACTGGGAAGCACCGAGCTGTACTGGGAGCACTGGGGAGCCGGCAGGTGAAAGATGCCAGTTTAAGGGGGGGTTTTTGGGTGCTTTCCCCCAGAGAAGGGGATGAGCTGTGGTTTGGAGTGAGCCCACCCCCGCCCATCCAGGCTGGGGTGGCACTTCGCAGACGTGGTGCTGGCAGCGTGACGAGCCGATGCCATATTCATCCTGACATTTCCCTCCGTGCCAGCCCTTCCCAGCGCTCCAGCTGGCAGCCCCCGGCTGCGGTGGCAGGGTGGCACAGGGATGAGCCAACCCCCTTCCATGGACATCCCAAGCCCTGGGGGGACCTGGGGGGCTTCTGCCCCCCTTTGCCTTTAGCATCGTCCCTCTCCCATCCACTGTATCTCCTCCAGCTTGTTCCTGGAGCGGTTTAAGGAGGGCAGGGACTCCCTGTCAGCGCTTTCTTCTTCAGCTTTCATGGAATCATGGAATCCTGGAATGGCTTGGGTTGGAAAAGACCTTAAGGCCCATCTCATTCCACCTCCTGCCATGGGCAGGGACATGTCCCACTAGCCCAGGTTGCTCCAAACCCTGTCCAACCTGGCCTTGGACATTTCCAGGGATCCAGGGGCAGCCACAGCTTCTCTGTACCAGGGCCTCCCCACCCTCACAGGCAAAAATTCTGTAAATCCCACCTGAATTTCCACTCTTTCGGTTTGAACCCTTTACTCCTTGTCCTGTCACTGCAGTTCCTGATGGAAGGTCCCCCTCTGACCTCACACCTGGAGCCCAGGGGGGCTTCAGAATGTCACCAACACGTGTGCCAGAGGTGACACAGAAGTGACAGTAAAGGCACAAAGTATCCAGCATGGACAAAAGGAGCTTGGGACTGTCCCCAGGGTGCCCTCAGCCACACCAGTGTCACGCACCGTCCACCCCAGCAAGGGGGACCAGCGATGGGTGCAGTGAAACCTCCACTCTCCACCCTTCCTCCACCTCTCCTGCCTTCATCACCCTCAGAACAGCCCTTCCCTTTCCTAACCCATCCCTTTTCACCCTGAATTTGGGGATCATCTCTTTCCCTGACTGGGTCCAACCCTTCCTGCAGAGGCACCACCCAGGGCAAACCCGTGCCCAGCAGCTGCAGCGCTTCTCCTCTCTCCACGCCCGCAGAGCTAATGAATGCAATTAGTGCGAACAGCCCTGCTGTCATTAGCGAGCCGCGGGGACGGGCAGCGGCAGCAGCAGCAGCAGCGGGGAGTGCAGGGAGCAGCATCCCGCCCACGCTCCCCCTGGATGCTCCACACCTCCTCCAACTCAGCAGATGCTGCTGCTCCGGAGCGAGGATGGGAGGGAGGGAGCGATGGAGATGGAGGGGAGCCAGCGAGGTGTGAAGCAGCTGAGCTGCCTGGCTCGGCACAGCGAGCGGGAGGCAGTTGGCTTCTTCCTTCACGCTGGCACCATTTCCCTTTTAAGCTGTTCTGATGGACACAGGGAAGGGATGAGAGGCTGAGAGTTGAGACCTGACGGTGCAGGAGAGAGGGGGGACGCTGCCAGCGTCTCAGGGTTGGGCAACGTCTTGCTGCTCGCTGACATGTTTGGGATGGGCATGGAAAAGTGGGATCCGTGCTGGGCTCAGTGCTGGTGGGTTTCACTGCAAAAACCCACGATGCCACCTTGTTCCCAGCCCCAGGGATGGGCTGAGGCCAAGCAGCCTCAAACTGTGTCTGGCTGCTTTGCTGGGAAATCATCTGCTCATGAGAGCCCTGTGAAACAGGAGTGGAAATTGGGGATATGGTAAATTTGGTAGGAGCAGAGTGTCTTTGATTCTACGATCAGGAGGTGTTTTGGCAGTGGAACAAATAAGAATTATGGGATCATAGAATCCTGGAATGGTTTGGGTGGGAAGGGACTTGAAAGATCTTCCAGTTCCACCCCCTGCCATGGGCAGGGACACCTTCCAATAGCCCAGGTTGCTCCAAGCCCTGTCCAACCTGGCCTTGGACACTGCAGGGATCCAGGGGCAGCCACAGCTTCTCTGGGCAACCTGTACCGGGTCCTCATCACCAATTTCTCCCCAATATCCCATCTCACCTTACCCTCTGTTGGTGTGAAGCCATTCCCCCTTGTCCTGTCCATACCCTCATCCAAATTTCTGGGGGAAGCCTGTACTGATTGTCAGGGTGAAAGAGGGGAGAAAGGATGGACAACAAAGTTAGGAATTTTAGGTGTTTCTCAGTTTCTGAGCAAGGAGTGCTTCCTCCCACCCTGAAGAAGCCTGTTCTTCCCTGAGCCGGCTCATCCTCCGGGAACAGAAAGCTGAGTCTGGGAAGGGGCTGAAACCCCAAGAGGCTTCACTTTCCCTCACAGACACAGGCATCAAAACTCCTGTCAGGGAGATGCCCCCCTCCAAACCCAGAGGAAACAGCACCCAGCCACAACCAGGATGGGAACACCCCTCCCCAGAGGTCCACACACACCCCCCCACACCCACACAGAGAGAATCATCTCCAAAGGCTTGAAACAAATCCAAAAGTTTATTTCCAACGAGTACACAGACCACGTGGGATGGGGGATGCGCTACATCACGATGCCGACCTCCCCGCCCTGGCTTCCTCTCACAGCCACCCCTTCCCCCAAAAACCTGGCAGTGGCAGGTTTTTTTTTTGGCACCCAAGGAATGGATTTCCCCACCACCACCACCACTGGCAACCTTGGCAGGCCAAAAAAAAAAAAAAAAAAAAAAAAAAAAAGAGTCCTTTTCCAGTACTCCAGATATTTTTTTTCTTTAAAAGCCTGGGGGTTGAATGTCATTTGATAGCACGCTGGAAATACAGCATGGGGATGGAAGGATGGCTGGTGTTTTGGTTGAGGAGGGGGAAAATGATCTTGGCAGGCGATCTCTACTTGGCTAACAAAGGCATATCTGTGTAAATACAAATACTGGGGTGCAATACCTGGCAGAACACCAATGTCAACACCACTACCAACATAAAACAGAGCCCAGCAACATAAAACACCTTCAATGAGTAGTTTGGGTTAATTCAAAATTCCCTCCCCCCTTTCCCCCATATTCTTCATGCAGGTTTATTTCATCGCTTAGTTATTAAGAATTCGAGTCGTAAAATAGGCAAGTCATTAAAAAAATTATTACAAACCACTTTATGACAGTGTTTTCTGGGAAGGGTTTGGGGGGTAGGAGGCCCCGGGTCAGGCCGGCTGCGCTTCACTCTCTGTGACGGTAAATCAGAGTTAAAAAAAGAACAGACAGAAAACCCAGGATGGGGTATTTACACATCTTGGTAACACCAAGAGCGAAACCAGCTGCGAAGCAAACGGCTTCATCCATCCTTCACCCTAAAGCTAAACAAGCTGTAGTAAAAAGATCAAAAATTGGAGGGTTGGGAGGGTTAGGAAGGGCCAAAAGCCGCGGTGGGGAGTGGGGGGGGGCTGGGACCATCCACGCTACTCGTGGAGTATAAACATTCCCAGGTGCCAAAGGGTTTGAGTCCGGTGTAAGAACAACGGGCCTTCTCCGTAGAAGACTAGAAAAAGAGTATGAAAAGGTAGAAAAACCAAAAAAGCACTTGTTACGGGCTAGAAAGAGTCACCCAAAGGTACCTAAAGACTATTGCCCTCTGGAATCCACAGGGATTAAGCTGATACCTGGTTCACAACTAGTTTAGTAAGGTCACCACAGACCCCCCACCAAGTCCTTGTGAGACACCCACCTCGTTTTGTACTCAGATCCCCACAATATGGTTCCTAAAGTTACGATTCCCAAAGTTTGCCAGGAGTGCAGAAGAGCAGGGGAAGCCAGGGGGTGTTTAGCAGTGGAAAGGAGAGACAAGCCACGTCCTCAAAAGTGTGAACCCGAGGCAGAGCCCAAAAAGGTGGGGTGTGTCCCCCGGGAGGGGATGAACCGGAGCTGGGAATAATTCCCCAGCCTGACAGGGAGCTCAGGCTGTGTGTAAACAGGGGATCAGGCACCTCCCCAAGCTGCTCCCCTGCCCCTTCCCAAGGTGGTGAGGCGGGAATGGGATTCAGTGGGTGTGGGAAGGGGCGGAAGCATCCCACTAAAAAGCAGCATCCCACAATGGGGCAACATCCCCTGGTGGGGCAGCATCCCTTGGGGGATGCCATCCCACCATGAAGCATCATTCCACCATGAAGCAACACCCCAGGGTGGATCAGCATCCCACCACGCAGCAGCATCCCATGGTGGAGCGGCATCCCGCCCAACATCCCCCCACAAAGCAGCATTCCAGACCAGCCCCAAGGGAAGGAGGTGCTACCAGGAAGCCAAACAGCAGGGCCAAGCGAGGAGGGCAGAGGCACAGAGGTGTAGGAGAAAGGAAAGACCCGGAAAGGAGTGGTTGACTTTGATTTTCAGATTTTTAGCTACCCCACAGCGGCCGGGGGCAGGGGCCACCCCGAGCCCCTTCGCCTGGGTTGTGGCACCTGCCCCTACCGCAGGAGGTATTTCAGGCACGTCTAAGGCATCACAGGAGTTCTCTCTGCTTTCAGAATCGCCTCAGTCTCCTCCCTACAGCTCCTTCCACCAGCCAAACGATAGAAAAGAAAAGTCTGGAGCGGATGAACGGACACAAACTCTCATGCACTACCACCGAACGTCGTCACAGGAGTATGAAGCACCAACCACGACACATGAATCACTTTTACTTGCAGAACCATATACAAAATGGTAAAAAAAAGTGGGGTTTGCCAGGAACACGGAGCTGCCAGCACGTGGGGGACAGGCAGGAGCTGCCTGTGTCCCCCCAGCAAACCCACCGTGGGGTCACTCAACCCCCCTCCTCTGCCACCACCAGAAATGAAAAAAGCACAAGACCAAACATTGAGTAACATCATAAGTCACCTAACCTGTTGCTATATACCTGACAACTTAAATAAAAAATATTAGTTTGGAAAGAAACCAACAATATCATTCCAAGAAGGTTATACACATCCTTAGCAGTTACTTTGCTCAGCACGGCTCTGGTGCTTTGAATATGGAACAATCAAACGATTTTTGTGAGCAGAAAAGTGACACAGATTTATTCTTTACATTATTTTTTTCTCTCTTTCTAGGCAACTCTACAGACTTCAGATCTTTTGCCTCGCAATGCAGATCATCTTATTCCCCCAAAATGTTCTTTAAACATGCACATCCCTGTAGCTTCCAGGCCGTGTATTTTACTTATTTTTTTGTTTAAATTCTGCGGACTAGCAGGTCGTCCCCGTTCCTAAAAACTCTACATCAGTGTTCAGGGTGGCCTGAGTGCCCGTCAGGCTCCTCCACGGTTTACAGGATCACACAGAAGAACTTCTTCTCTCTAAAGGGGTTTTCTGAGGCCGGGACAGGGGTCAATAGAGGGTCCTCCTTGGCGTGGGCTTCGCAGTACGCCATCAGGTCTGCTGCTGCTTTGGACACCTGCAATGGAAGGAGCCCCTGTGTTAGGGACAGGCTGTGCTGGGAAAATCCCACCTGGAAAAAGATGCTGCCAGCAGGGCTGGGCAGGAAACACCAGACCCTTGACAAGAACCTGACCAGTAATTTTGATGGGACTGGTTCTTCACCTCTGCACTCAGGGCTGGTTTTTTAACCTCTGGGCTCTAGGCTCATCTGTTAGCAGATGATCTGAAAAGCATCCTCCACATCCTTTACCCATTCCCATCTTTCACATCCTTCACCCAACCTGACCATAGCAAGGTCTGACTTCAGCATCCCTGCATCCCTGCTGTCTCTCCCCCGAAACCCTCAGCAGGGACATCCACAGCTGCCACAGCAACATCTGCTTCCCTCAGCCACCAACCTCCTTATTTATTCCGGACATGGCAGCAGCTCCCGAGCCACTGGAGCTCAGCCACACCCCAAAAGGTGAGGTGTTGCTTGCATCCAGATGTGCCTGCAGCCAGCAGCTGCCGCTGCAGCACTTCTCTCCCCAGATTTATCCTCTTCCCATGGAGGTGAGATGCCTTGGGAACAGTCAGTCCCTGCCACCCACCCAGCAGGGCTCCAGGTGAGGCTTCCAGCTGCTTTCCATCCCCAGGAGTGCTGGATAGGGGGCTTAGAGCAACCTGTGGAAGGTGTCCCTGCCCATGGCAGGGGGTTGGAACGAGATGGGCTTTCCTTTCCAACCCAAACCACTCTGGGATTCTGTAATTCCACGGGCAAGCACCTCCCTGCCTCCCTGCCTTCAGCCACAGCCATCGGGATGGCTCCGTAAACACCACCCAGCACCACATCCCAGCTCCCACCATGTGCTTTGGGCAGCAGCCACCACCTCACAGCATTCCCCAGCCAGCTCCTGAGCCTCCCTACCTTTATCCTGTCGATGTTGGCTTCCATCTTCAGCTGCTCCACCAGCTTCCGTGCCTGCGCTATGCTGGCAGTGTTGTTGCTAGCCATGGGCAGGCCAGGCAAGCTCCCCGGGCGGGCTGAGGGCAGGAACACACGTGGATCAACTGCTGGGCCCCGAAATTCCCCGAACTACGTGCTGGGGTCACGCGTGTGGAGCGTCAGAGCCATGGGAATGAGGGTGTAAGGAAGGGAGACGCAGACGCAGGGCGGGGAGCTGCAGTGACCCGCTGCCAGTGGCCCTCTCCTGTGCCCTCCCCCCGGTCCCCAGAGCCAAGCTTTGGGGCCACTGGGACCATCTGGAGCCCAGCTGAGCCGTTCTTTGGCATTTGCTGTTCCATGAAAGCCTGTGACAGCAACAAGGAAGGCTCATTCCCCGCCCGTGCCGGTGCCCAGCGTGAGTCCGGTGTCCCCTGGCCTCCCTCGCTTTGTTCCTGCTGCCAATTTGAACATTGAGATGCTAAACAGGATGCTGGAGTTTCCTGTTTCTCGAGATTTCTACCCCAGGCAGTCGTGGTGGGGGGGACGCTCATTAAGTCCCTGCCGGGCTCTGTCACAGATGTTTTCCCGTCACCTTCTAACAGCAGCGAGCTCCGGCCAGAATTCCAGCATCCCACCTCCTCCGGCAGCCGACACTTTCACAAGCGGCAAGTATTTTCCAGCAGAGGCACCGCTGTGCTCCTGCCGGACTGGGGCTGCCTGCCAGCTCCAAAATGTCAGGGGTTTTTTTGGGATGTCCTGCAACAGCAGGGCACGGCGAGACCCCATGAGTGGGTGGGACAAGGACGGCACAGCCCTAAAATAAGGAAATCGCGATGTTTTAAGGAAAAGCTGAGGGCGTGTCCAGCTCAAGCCCATTATAAGGGTGTTTGGACACCTGCGACTTAGAGAAAAAAAAAATCAACCTGGCACTGGTGCCTGTGCTCAGAGAGGGAGTCGTGCCGGGATTTGAGGATAAGACCCCTCCCCACCTCAGCCCCCCCCCGCCCAGTGGGAAACCCCAAGAAAGTTATTTTTTACCAGAAACCGGTCTCTCCGCTGATCTCTGCCTCTAGGGGAAGATCTGCTCCTCTCGGCCGCTCACCACCTTCGAGCAAAGGGAACGTGAAATCAAAAAGGAGCCGGGTTAGGTTGCAGCGATGCCGCTCAGCTCCATATTTACGGCACCAGGAGCCCCGGCGGTGCTGCGGGTTTCCTTCCGCGCGTGTCCCCCCCACACCCCCGCCCCGTGCCGTGCGAGCACAGCCCCCAGCGGCATTATTTGTTTGCGTTCGGCGAGGTTTTTCGGCACAGGAAGAGGTTTCAAGTCAGCGGGCGGGCATCCGAGGGCTGCCGGCAGCCAAGGCTCGTGGCTGCTCCCCAGCCCGCGGCAGGACGGAGGATGCTCTGGGATGGATTGAACCGTCTGGTGCACAGAGCACGCGGCGGGACGGAAGGAGCATCCCGCGGGGAATGCTGCCAAAAATCTCCCAGCTCCCAACAGCCCGAGCTCCTCCCGGCTGGATCTGCTCTCCCGGGAACAGCCCTGTGCCTTCGCTCGCGGGGTTTAGCTCGAGCCTGTGCGCTGTTTCCGTGCTGCTTTATCTCATTTCATCTCATCTCTCACACCTTTTATTTATTTTTTTTTTCTTCTTCTTCTTTGGCTGGAGAGGAGTTCGAGCAGCAGGGTACAACTCTCCTTTTTTTTTTTTTCTCTCTCTACTTTTTCCTTCCAGTTTTCCCTGCAAAGTCACGGAGTGGCCTTGGCAGTGCTGGGGGAATGGTTGGACTCAATCTCAGAGAGCTTTTGCAACCTAAACAATTCTATGTTGTGTCCTTTCACGCAGAGGACCTGTTGCTGCTCCAGTGGCAGGGAGTCACTTCAGAGACTTCAGCAACTTCAGCCACTCCTGTTTAAGGTCATGAAAGGAGGCATGGGAGCAGGGAGGGCTGCTGGGAATATCTACGCAGCTGCTACAGCCCTGATCTTAAAAAAATTATTTATATCCAACCCTGCTGCCACCCTCCTGCAAGGAAACCCTCCCTTCTCTTACTACCTCCGTCCCTGGGGGCACTAAAGTGTGGAAAACAGCCCCAAAAGCAAGGCTAGAGAAGACCAAGACCCTGCTGGGACAGAGGAAGGGACATCTGTGTGAGCTGGGATGTCCCAGGGCTGCTGAGACAATGTTGGGAACTCAGGGGCAGCTCAGCCACCTTGTAAGGACCCTCCCAGGGGCCACCACAAACCCCAGCCATGCTCAGCCCCTCTGCAGATGCTTCCAACTAGAAACTAAAACCATTTTGGGGGGCAGCGATGGTTTCGCAGCATTTCCACTCTGTGAGTTTCCTTCCACATGAATAACAAAAACACAGCAGGTGACACTTCAGAGCAAGCTCATGAATATCCTGCACCAAAAAACAACCCCACAACAGCCCAGGAGGCAGCAAAGCTGCTCAAACAGGGCAGCCACAAAAGCAGGGTTTTTTTAATCCCAAAGTGAGGACACCCCACTGTACCCCCGGGAGAGTGTGGAGCCCGTGGGAGTAAACCCAAATCTCCCTGTCTTTTTGTGTGGATTGGCTTGATCACAGGATCACAGGATGGTCTGGGACATCTTCCACTAGCCCAGGTTTCTCCAAGCCCCATCCAACCCGGCTTGAAACACTTGCAGGGACCCAGGGGCAGCCACAGCTTCTCTGGGCAACCTGTGCCAGGGCCTGCCCACCCTCCCAGGGAAGAATTCCTTCCCAATATCCCATCTATCCCTGCTCTCTGGCAGTGGGAAGCCATTCCCTCTTTTCCTGTCACTCCATGCCCTTGTCCAAAGTCCCTCTCCAGCTTTTTTGCATCCCTTTAAATGAATTCAACCCTTTCCATGAGCACTAAATAACCCATGACCCCTCTGCACAACAGACAAGTATCAAAACAACCTGCCAAGATCCCAGGGTTGTAATTACAGCGGCAGAGCCCAAAAGAGACAATATCCATGTACTGGACACGTTAAACATCGTTAGTAAGGAAATAACGAGCAAGGACTCATTAACCTGTGGGCTCCAAGGCACGAATCCCATTATCCAGACCCACGTGCCATTGAGGGAGGGAAATAACACACTGTCTGCATTCCCTTGTGAGCACCATGAAACCCTTTCCATTGCAGACAAAGTTTGGCACAACAGCAGTGAGATCAGCCAGTGACAACGGGGACATCAGGAAATATTGGGAAGCAGGGTGATTTTTAGCTTTATGGTTGGCATTTTCCCTCCAACTTGGGGATTTACCCACTTTCCAAGGTGTAGCTGGGTTGACTGCAATCAGGGGTAAGAAGGCATTGGGGGTTGAAGGAGAGGAGGATGCCCCAGCAACTTGGATTAAATCTCTTCCCTGGGAGGGTGGGCAGGCCCTGGCACAGGTTGCCCAGAGAAGCTGTGGCTGCCCCTGGATCCCTGGAAGTGTCCAAGGCCAGGTTGGATGGGGCTTGGAGCAACCTGGGCTAGTGGAAGGTGTCCCTGCCCATGGCAGGGGAGTGTAATTAGATTTTGTTAAAGGTCCCTTCCAACCAAAACCACCCTGTGATTCCATGATTCCACGAAAAATGCTTGCAAAAAATACCTGGGCTTGGAAGTTTTGCTGCTAATTTTTACTGGTTGGTACCTAAGCTGCAAAAAAAAAACCACCTAATTTTTTGTTGTCTGTTGAATTTAATGTGCTCTGAGTTTAAAGCCAACGTTGCTTTGCACCAAGGAAGAAGTAGTCCTCCTCGATCCCAGTAAGTTCATCCCATCTACCTTGATTTCTGGATGCATTTCCACAGAAATTGCCATGTAAGAACCCAAAAAAGCCACCGCGAAAGGAGCATTTCTCGAGGCCGAGCCCTCCAGCTGAGCCGCCATCCCACTCCTCCCTCCCAAACCGGGCTCCTGTGGGGCTCTGGCATCCCAGAGCTGCCAACCCTGCCTGAAACAGTAATTAGGCTTCGTTTGCCAGCTCCTCGTCAGCACAAGCTGCCGCCTGCTCCACACACAGCTCTGCTGAAAGGCTGCGGAGCAGGCGCTTGGGAAGAGAGGATCCTGGAATCCAAGTGCCTCGTACCAGCTCCAGCTTCAAATCCAGGAAATCCGAGCCCAGCCTCCCCATTAGCAGTTTCCCCCTCCACTCTTCACTTGGGGTTTATCCAACTTGCACGAGGGTGGAGATGGGAATTCTCATAAATGTTTAAAAAGTGGCACTTCTCCATGCCTGGAAGTGTCCGAGGCCAGGTTGGATGGGGCTTGGAGCAACCTGGGATAGTGGAAGGTGTCCCTGTCCATGGCAGGGGGTAGGAATGAGATGGTCTTTAAGGTCCCTTCCAACCCAAACCATTCCATGGTTCTATGATTTTAAGCGTGATTAATTAGTGCAATTGCCCTAAATAGGACACCAGAATCCTTGGAAAGCATTTCCTTACATTCCTGAAGGTGCAAACGGGCATCAAGTGAGATTTCATGGATGTCACAAGACATCCCCGTGTCTCTCAGGGTCTGAAGTGTTTACCCACCCATCTGTGATCCTCTGCACTTTTAAACCTGGGGAAAACACCCTCTCCTGTCTCTCAGCTGGAATTGGAATAGGCAGGAACAGGCACTGGAATAGGCTGCCCGGGGCAGTGGGGGATTCACCATTCCTGGAGGGATTTAAAAGCAGTGTGGATGTGGCACTTGGGGACGTGGGTCAGTGGTGGCCTTGGCAGCGCTGGGGGAATGGTTGGACTCCTTGATCCTTCTCTAACCTAAACAATTCTATGATTCAGTTCTCCAGACTTTTTTCCATCTCCCAGTGAGTGTGTTCTCAGCTCTCTCCCACCACACCTCCCAGCTGAACCGAAAGGAAAAGCAGGAATGAAACAGAAAGTGCTGCCAGAGCGAAACCTCGCTGTTCCCTCACCACAGAGACCCAAATGCAGCATCACCCACCACCCAGAACAGCTCCTTTTCGAGGTGAAAGCAGGAGCTTCCCTGCTCCTTGATTTCAGTAAAAAGCCGTATTTTCCACCTCTGATGCACCGATGTTTTCCACCCAGTTAGCAGCAGAGTGAGTGAATCCCATCGGGGCAGCCAGGATCTGGGGAGAGAAGGGATCAGGCTTGTTCCTACCAGCCAGGGCATCCACCAGGGCTTTTGGGTTCAGAAGAGGGGTATATTCTTGTTACAGAAAAAGGGATTTTTGATCCAGAAAAGGTGCCAAGCTGGGTATTGTAATGGAGGGATTTATCCCAGCTCTCATTCACATCTCCTGCTCCCTGCGCTTCCCCACAGCTGAGCCCACCCCAGCTTGCTGCATCCCCTCTGAGGCAAGCGGGCTCTCCCAAAATCTGCCTTTTCCTCCCCAAAACCAGCCATGACACAGCATCCAGAAGGGATAACGGAGCATATGGAGGTGCCATCTCCTCCCCGGAGCCGGCGCTGCCGGTCACCGGCCGGCTGGAGCGTGGGAATCCCTCCTGAGGGGCTGCCTGGTTCTGCCAGGCATCTTGTTGCTTTTCCTAAAAGCCACAGCTAAAAATAGGCAGCTCAGCTGAAAAAAAACCCAATTGCTAAATATAGCCAGAAAAGTATAAAAATATTACAGGCTGAAAAGAAAATAGCAGAGCCACGTTTGCAGGGGGTGGGAGATGGGGTAGTCGCGTGGATCCCGACAGCAGTCACAGACCTAGGTGGGAAAAGAGCCTTAACACGCCCAAATTCCATGTGTTTCATTATTTCCTCAAGGGAAGAAAATGTTATGAGCTCTATTTGTGCCCGTGGGCTCCCATCACTCTGCTTTGCTGGGGCAAAGAACCTTGAATCCTGAGTGGTGGTTACAGCCACAGCTCCCAAACCCCGTCCACAGGGATTTGATTCCTTTTTCCAACAGCCATTTTTTATCCCTGCTGCTCAGCACAGTGTATAAATCACTATAAAGCGGCTTGCAGGTCAGAGACGTGCTGGCAAATAAATAAATAAATAAAAGAAAAAGACAACTGAGTGGAAAATGGGACTGTTTCTATGGAAACAGCTCCGTTATCACACCAACATCTGATCCCTCCTGCCAAACAGGGATGAGGTGGGATGGGTGCCCATTTTGGCCCACAT